TCGAACCATATGCTGGGCAGTACTTTCCGGTTGCTGTTCTTCTGTTTGGTGTCTGATTTCAATTCTGGACGCAGTGTGATTCTGTGCTTCCTCTTTGTCGATTTCCTACAGGATTCCAAGTTAGAACTTGCCTTTAGATGCAGTTAATGTTGGTCGTAATGTATATCCCATTTATAATACTAAGCATGGATTTATAAAATGTCTGTTATATATGATTTGTCATCTAGAATCCTTTGACTACATAACCAAACTTAAGGATAGCAGGTCAATTACCTTTTCATTTTACCTTGATCTACGAAAAACAATTGAGAAGGTCCCATACGAACTGCTGTACATGAAACAACGATCATATGTTATAGAAGAGTAGCAATTATGATGCTTGACACATTCTTAGACAGTTCAATCCATTATGTGAAAGTAAAGTCACATATGTTCAGAATTTTTTTCTATTGCTATCATGATCGTACTGAATAGTACTAATGTTCCATCAACATTTGCACTATATTTTTTTATTACATGATCATACGACAAACGCGATGAACAAATCAAACCATTGAAACTCTGTACTGGGAATTGAAGAAAGTATTATGACGCCTCATCGTGGAAGCCGAGATTCTTCGGTAGTCACGAGGCCGATGCTCCTTCTAACAACCATACCAACAATTAACATAAATACACGGAATGTTCTGACAGTGTGGGAGAGCCAACCAAAGAGCTACGGAAATGAGAAGATACAAACTGACAGTGCTCGGAATAAGTGAAACCCATTGCACCCGAGAAGAACCAAGAAGAAAATGCTCCGCACACTCAGTGAGTTGCTCTGATGCTGTCATGTTTGTATCGCTAAAAATGACAGCATTTAACAACAGCTGAACAACAATAGAAAACGTCAAGGCACAAGCTGAACACACTGAAGAAAACAAGCAAGTGAAGACGAGCATTGGAGCTGACAGGCAGAAATATGTAGAAGACTTAACAACGACAGCGGAAAAAGCTGCAACGAAAGGGAATATGAAACAACTATATAACACAACGAAGAAACTGACAGGGAAACAGTAAACCGGAGAGACCAGTCAAGGACAAAAAAGGCAAGACAATCACCGAGATTCAAGTACAGAGTAAAGATGGGTAGAATACTTTGAGGAACTCTTGAATAGACCAGTTCCATGAACTCACCGGACATCGAGGCAGTACACACAGACATTCCTATAGATGTCACTCCATCAACGATCGAGGAAACCGGGATGACCATCAGACAAATCAACAGTGTGAAGCCAGCAAGGCCCGACAGTACTAAAGTCACACACAGATGCAACTAAAAATATACTCCATGTTCTATTCAGGAAGATTTGGGAGGAGGAACAAGTGTTGACAGACTGGAAAGAAAGAAACCTCAACAAGATACCAAAGAAAGAAGATCTGAACGAATATGAATTCTACAGAGGCATCACACTACTGTCAGTACCAGCAAAGGTTTTCGATAGAGTTGCTAAACTGAATGAAAGATTCAGTAAACGACCAACTTGGAGATCAACAGGCCAGATTCCATAAGGTTTGGTCGTGCACAGACTAAATCGAGTCACCACGGATAATCGTTGAACAATTAATTGAATGGAACTCGTCACTATACTTCAACTTCCTTGACCATGAGAAAACGTTTGATAGTGTGGGAAGGAAGGTCTTACGAAACCTTCTTCGACACTATGGAGTACCTGAGAAAATCATCAACATCATCCGTATTTCATACAACGGACTACACTGAGAAGTTGTGCTTGGGAGACAGCTGTTAGACGCACTCTATGTCTACTCTCTCCCTTTCTCTTTCTTCTGGTAGTTGACTGGATTATGGAGAACCCCACATATGTGAAGTACAGAATACAATGGACAGTTTGTATCCAACTAGACGATTTGGACTTCACGGATGACCTAACCATTCTATCCCGTATACATCAATAAGTGCTGGTCATGACAAAAAATGTAGCGGCAGTCTATACATAGACAACACGGAGAACACCAACCAATTAAACATTATGCAGAAGTTCTCGATTAAGCGGAATATCATAATCATGAAAAACGAGGATCTGATGTAGAGGTAAAGCCTTGTGAGTTTCTCCGTTTTTTATTTTTCTTACCCTGAAAATTTTACAGTTTTATACTCCTTCATGTCCTTTGAGTTGCTATTAGTCCTTACTTTCTTTAAACTATTAGCTATCTTCATAGCAGTGTGGTTTACTAAATGGACATCTAACCCATAATACAAATTCGTTAACTATCTGATTTGCTTGTAACATGGAACTAGTAGACACAGTGTATTCTAACCATGGACTTTGATTACAGCAGTATTCATACTTACCACAAACGTAAGAGAGCCTAACATCGCAAAAGGAGAGAGGGTGGCGTTACTAACCAGCAAACTTTATGGTGGGGAGATAACTTCAATCCACCCATGTCTGTAGGGCAGTACATCTTGTTTGATTAGGGCTTCTTATGGTCTAGTGGAATGTCACGAACTAATGGTATTGATGCTGATTTATCATGCAAAATACCTCAATAAATTGTGTTTAGAACTATGAATTGGTTTCACTTCTTACTCAGTAATCCTATTACAAGCAAACTAGACAATTCACTAAGACACGAAGCCTACTCAAGACCCTATAAAATCTATAAAAAATCTTTTATATGAATAAAAGGCTCCAATAGCTTCGAAAAAAGGGTAGATAGCCAATTGTGTATCACAATACTGTTCTTAGCACTATATTTTATAACAAGACATAATCCCATCCTCTCAGCTCCTTTCTGAACCACCTCCGTTTGTCAGTTGTTTATTCACTCATGCATTGCTCTTAACATAATCCAAAGTTAACTGCTCATGCTAACTCTCGATTTGTTTCTTACACTATTCAAGATCTACGTCACCTCATATTGTTGCAGTCCAACTTCAGTGGTGACACAATTCTCTTGAAACAGATACAGACAGGCCCAACGTGGATTGACGGCAGCCGTGAATTTATTCGGTCGAGGTTCGGTGGCTTATTATTCTCAATAAGTAATAATCGTTGCAGAGCACTAAGCTTATGACTGGGATCTCAATAGTTAGGTTATGAGAAGCATTGAAAAAATGCGTATGGAGAAGACTTTGCTAAAATAATGTGATGACATCTCTGCTTTAAGTATATGAAATTCAGCGATGAAAAGACTCGTTGCTCATTGTGCGTAACAAGTTTTGGAAAAACACGACACTCATATGACAGCCGTCTTTCGTCAGTTTTGCGGCTTCTAGATGGAACCTTCCTACATCTGTTTCGGATAGTTTGGCATTCACAATCGAGTGATACATGATCCGTTGTTAAGAGCGAATTTCGAAAATGTTTCCCGTGCCGACTAATCTGTTGAGATACCACAATCTATGATTGTTGTTAATTAGGCTAGCTGAGTATTCGCACGCGTGCAGTAGAAAAATATTTGCACTGTCTGAGACCTTACGTACAATCCACTTTGATCACTATTCAGAGGTAGAGTTAGGTACTGAATATCGAAAGTATCGTCAAAGTGGTGGGTGAAAGCAAGGTCTGACAATGACGATCTATATTCTAAATAAATTTGTTTTGTGTTGCAACACACTTTACAAGTGCTCATTGCATATTAGTGTGCTGCTGGGAAATATATGCTCTATCAAAATAATGGGTGACACATTGGAATCCTGAACATGAGAAAACAGTTGGCTTTGCTCCGTGTGCGTATGCGGATGTTGACTGACGTAACTGGAGAACGAATTACACATATAATGTGACACATTTCTGTGGCAAGAAATATGTCAAAACTTAATTATTCCATCATTAGGCTTAACCTGGACGTTGCGTTTTAAGACAAAGAGCATTTTACGAATCATTCGTTCTACCCATACAGGCTTCAAAAGCGTTGACATCCAAGATACAGCTAAAGAAAAACATTGAGACCAAAAGTTTGTTTCATTATTTTGTTTCCAAGTTTATAAATCGTTGAGAGCACCCTTCTTCACAGTTAAATCCCCAGGTGATCAATATGGGTGGATAATAGAATCTGGAGTAAGATTTTGCATTTGTTAAGTAATTTAATATCCCTTTTTCACAATACTTCAGGGTACTAACCTTACGTTTCTCTGTATTTTGGCATCGCTTTCAACTCAAGACCTGTTCACTTGGTTTTATGTACTACTATATAAAAATGTTCGAGAACGGTACTTTTAACGATAGTTAAGTCAACTGAACGTCAAAAAGTAAGTGAGTCTAACTGTAGGGACAGAAACGGAAAAACGATAAGTATGGATACACAGATACACATTGACGAAATAATATGCACTCAGCCAAAGACATGTGAAGAGTATTTCACGAAACCGAATATCAATAAAAGCTTTAATTTAGCTTTAATCTGACGCAACATAAATTTAATATTTCAGAACGTTGGAAAATTCGCTTTATTCACATCTTGGGTTCGACTCTTGGGTGTCAGACTGTGTACGCACTTCTGAGGAGTCTTTAAGCCCAACGGAAACGTTTTTAAATATCTTCAAGGTCTACAGTGATAGTTTAGTTACGATCGGTTCGTGACCAAAACTATGAATATCAGTCAGTGTAAAAGAAACGATTTTACCACTTTGCATTGCACGATTGAGTGCAAAATCTTTTTAAATCTTTGATATGCCTCAATAACATTGTCAACGTAATGTTAGGTATTGTATGTTTTGTTTCACTCGCTGAAAATCGGAGGGATTTAAAAGTTCTTTATGTTACTGCGCTAGGTTGATGTGATGTTCTCGCGCTGTGGAAGTATCAAGAAGACAAGCTCACATAAAATATCATGCGAAGGATCAACCTCAGCAAGTTTCAAGCGGTTTATTTATTTTCTCTTTAAAGGATATAGAAGGTTACAAATTCTCGTATGTACGATACATCTGTGTGATTATTGGTTGTATCCTAAGTGGTGGACTTCTACGGTTACTGTTTCACTGGTTTCCTCATTGGATGCTATGGTGTACACATAAAGTCTGTGATCTCAACGAAGCAAACAAAGTCAAGATAAAGGTTTGGGTACTTTTATTTTCAAAATTTTCTCCTAATTTTAATAGGATATTTCTGGTATCTACATCCATAAAGTTCAATATCCTACACGAGGAAAGTCTAGGTTAAGTTACTACTTGATTGATATTACTGTAGCAAATTATGGGCTGTGTGATAAGTAAACTTAACCTTTATTCTTTTTAATCAAGGTCACAATATGACAATTCAACAACGGACGGTTTTCTTGAAAACCAAACTGAACGCCCATATATCATACATAAAAAGCTAAAGTACATCTGGAACTTTGAGTCTGAAAATTTCGAGCTACTACAGTGAGTACAGTGTTTTTATAAACCGAAATATGTAAAATTTATATTTCTAAAGCAAGTAGACTACTTTGTAACTAATATCACATTTCAAAGTCTTTATAATGTCGAATTAATGATACTGTTAGTGTTTTGTGAGATAAAATCGTGCTTGACGTTCTTCCACTTTCATATGTGTTCCGCACGTAGTGTAGGATATTTGTGTACCAAAAGTATTTTAGTCGCCTTTCCAAACGTTTCGTTTCGTAGTTTTACTAGATAAAGCATTAATTGAACAGAGTACATATCACTACTTGGGAATCACACTTATTTGCGCATAGTTTTATTTGTTTGAAATCCCAGGGTTTAGTTTTGATGAAACAATCAGACTATGATTATGTACACTTTTCAAGAAATAAATTATACCTCGTTTTTTTTATACAACTAGTTGAATTCTCCTGAAATATTGTTAAATTTTCTTTAGAAACTGGGATGAGCGTCCTTACGATGAAGTATTAAATGCACCCACCTTAACTACGGATCTAATTGAAACTCGTCGAAACTTGTATGGAATTAATAAGATAGATGTCAGTCTTACACCCATAATGAGGCTTGTTTTGAATGGAGTACGTTAATGATTTTAGTACAAATTTATGTTTTTTTGGTTTTTATAGTAGATAAAAAATAAGTGATAAATTATTCTGAATCTGGTATCAACTTAAAATGAATACTTCATAAATATCATCTTAAGAAGACATCTGTGTATATTTCTAATCTACGAAACGCATTTGTGGCTGTTAGTGTATATAAAAAGCCGTCAAGATGTAAATCTAATATACATATGAATACACAACATTTCAATAACCAAGCACTATACAAACCAAAATAATATCGAACAAGTCTTATGTTCATGGGGTTACTTCATACAACTAATTACAAAATTACATTTTTGGTGCAAGTCAGTATTAAGTATGTACAAGCATCTGTTCATTTATGAACAAACCAGATTCGTACACACAAAATCTAGAAAAACATATCAAAGAGATTTGTCCGTGAGACAAACTGGTGACTTGAGGTCGTTTGCTTACAGTGATTCGCGTACCCAGCTCTTGTATGCTCTACAAATATAGTATGCTAGACGAAACTTAACTATCGTTTAGGGTTTTCTGATAGAATTTATTTCTAGAACATCATGTTTGTGAACTCGTGGTCATTTACTAAAGTCAACTTGTTTTACTTTCATTCCAGTGTCTCACTCCGTTTCACTGCTTTCAAGTGTTTAGCTGTGTAATATGGTTTTGTGTCCAGTACGAAATATATGCAACGTGTATTGCTGTGTTCTCTGTAACATCACTTATTTTTCAGGTTTACGAGCTTCGTAAGGTAAGGAAGTTTACTCATGTTGCATTCAATATTTTCACCACAAAAATACCAAGCTAACCAAATCAAGGTTATATTATTTAAATGTGGTTTTACTAATCAAAAACATTGTTTTCAAATTGTTTAGTGTTCTTGTTATATATTGTTACGATATCACATAAAGCAAAAAACAGGGCTTACCTGTTGGTGGAAATACATAGAACTCATTTGAATAAAGCAAAGAGTTTTACCTCGTTTGAGGCTAAATCTAATGTACGAGGGGCGGTTATAGCATGTGGAATACACAGCTAAACTAGCTGTTGCGGTTTCCTGTGCTGGGGCTCATCGGTGAACATTCGATCATTTAGAACATTAGGCTATAAAAAATTCTATAGTTTACTGAATTTACATTTTTGAAAATATACAAAGCCAAATTATAAATAATGTAATTATCTCGATGTAGACATAATGTAGAAATAATGTAGCAACCCAAACAAATCTGTAGAACGCCGTTAACTAAGAGTTAACTGTTTCTGGTCTATGAGGAGAGGTAACTACAATTAGATTGTAAAAGAAAGAGCAAAAAGATCCCCAATTCCAATAAGATCTCATAGTTTAACGTTTACTTCATCGTACTCATAACCAGCTACTCCTACCTCAACGCGCATTAGGTTAGTTTGACGAAAAACCGGAAGGACTACGTAAATCAATTGTTAATATCTGGAATAAGCAGCGCCTGTAGTTGCAGAGTTATAATATTTGAAGATCACAGTATCTCGTCTACATTTAGTCTTTGCCTCACTTAACTTTTGGCCTGCACGCTTCCCATTTTTTTTATGAAATTTTTTTCTTTTGGACTGATCTTTTATGTTTTCTTTAATACTGCAACCAAAATTATTTTGTCTCTTTTGTTTCTCTCTTCGTTAATTATTATTTCTTACTTGCCAGTGCTGGGTGCTGTGACGTGGATCAGTATACCTTTGTCACAGGTTCCACACTGTCTAGGACTAACTGCTGAAGTATATACTCAGGTCACTTACGTTGTTCAGATTTCGACTTTTCGTTTTAGCTACGTTATTGCACGATAGCTCATGTTTCCTGACACGAAGTCCATTTTTATGGACAACACATGTATAGCCTAGCTAGGAGATTCTAAAAAGATAGTTTCAGTAAACCGACACACCTGTGAAAAAGTCTCTTAGTGGTGTTAACTGTTGCCATGATCCTAGGAAACTACATATATATATGAAAAACTCGGATGTACTTGGTCTTTCATTATTTTAACCCCGTTTCATAATCATGTTATTTTTAAGAAGATTAAATTATTGTACGTTGTGCACTTTCAAAGAATATCAGTAGTTCTTACATTTTATCAAATAAACCAATCCATACGTAAAATTTAGTTTATGGAATTTTAATTTTTTCATTTCACTGTAACTTCTGTTATAATGTAGACTAAAATTAATTCCTTCAATTTCGTAAGCCACTCAAGACACTTAACCAGTTATATTAATCTTATCGTATTTCCATTCTCATTTGTCATTTCCGGATTCAATCAAATCGGTGTATTAGTTTATGTAGTATTTTTAACCTGAAGTTGAGTCAAGGGCATCTGAAGACTCCCTTCATATCATTAAGTTAGCCTTTGCAGCCATATTCCATTCAATTAAACTGCTTGTTAACATTAGCAGCACCTAATTTTATTGGTTTTTGAATTCATCACATGCAATAAATTGGTTGTCGGTTTTAGGAGTCAACTAAACAAGACTCAAATAATAAATAAAAATGATTATTTATGTATGTAATGATCGGTAATTAATACTAGTTAGCTATGTAAATAGTTCATGCTTATTTTGGAAATTTTCCTGTGCATCTTTTAACATTACATTGATGCAACAACCACTTATATATGTCAAGTGGCCAAAACTAAGTTCAGATGACAATCATGCCACTTATTTTTTTGTAAACTGAATTTGTACCGACATCCCGATTGATTTGTGTAATGTAACACTGCACAATTATTTTCTGAATGAGGAAACTGTCACCGAACGTTTCTAACGCAATAAAAATGTTAATCAGGACTCTGAGATTAATGGTTCTGCAGAGTTACACACAATACGAAACACATTTTTACGTCAACTGGTTTTGATGATTAAACTCGTTAAATGGATATGTTTAGAAATTAGCATCAATTTATTCTTTATCCAATAACTTAGAATGAACGAGCTTTAAAGAAAACTGTATGCATTTCGTCTAAAGTTACTGTATGCAGACGTCGTGATGGGGAAGATGGTAAGTTTGAGCGAATTTCAAAATTTTATTTTTGATATCAAGATTTAAATACATCTTTAATGTACTTGTAATCGACTTAGTTTCTCTAAAACTCTTGAGGTACACAATCGTTATCTTTGTTTAATGTCCTCTCAATCTAAAGACATTTTTGGTATTGCACGTGGTAGTTTCGCTAGCACTGCATGTACAAGATGTTTCCTAGTATACTGATCGAGATGATAGGCTTTGTAGTTTATTCCACTGCTACTCACCATCTATCTCTACTTGTAATGCATGTAAATTAAGGTAATATCGAGGCAGTGTGCACATTGCACAAGCTAATGTCTATCTGGACTCAGTCGCTAAGTGAATAGTGCGATTGCATTTAAAGCGAACAGTTCTAGGCTTGAGTTCCGGAGTGAACATCAACTCTGGGATACAGGTAAATATAGCTGACGAAACGTGGGTTCTGGATTTCATTACTAGCCACCACCCATCTGCTTTATCTTACCATAATCTGGTAACTAGTGTGTGTATTTCATGCATATACACAAAACAAGGTTGAATATTGAACCTAATTTAGAATTTGCTGATTTTTACACTAAGCAAATTTTAAAAAGAAGTTTGTGGATTTTAAAAATATATTTCCTTATGTTCAGGGAAGTTACACAAAACTAATCATGCCGAAATTGTACATTGATTTGCGGATCTTAAAGTTTTTTACTTATTTTTAATTAAACAAACCACTGAAGGTGGCGAAGTGTTTAACTCTAGATTGTTTATTTGTTCCGAAGTGTGAGTTGTCATACGCTACACATTTATGCAGGTAGATAGAATTTGTCACGGATCCATCAGTTTTAGTAACAAATAACTACATCTCTATTTACTATCTAGAGAATAGCATCTTTCGTTTAAAAATTTAGCTACTAAGAAAGTCTTGTTTATTGAGTCTAATAATTACTTGTCGCTTTCAATTAAAAATAATTTCATAGATTATATGAAGTTTAGCCAGATATACTTTCTATGGAGCCGTATTGAGCAGTTGCAAATTTGATGTTTCATATGGTATTATTCCAACACTTTGACGACTTAAACCTTTTTGATCTAGTAAAAAATGTCTAACTCCACTATAGACTGGATGCAAAACCTAAATAAACTAGAAAGGAATTCTACAAGTTTTCCTATCCTATGGACCAGCTGATAAACTGTTTTAGCTTTCATTCAGCCGAACATATTTTCCTCTTTAATTCGTATAAAGTTTTTTAAAAATTGGGTTTAAATATACTGATGTGAAGCTGGGTTCATTAAAGTTGAAGTATTCACACACTTAGCAGTGAATTTAGAAATACAGATATGAAGGTTTTTGCTTTTGTTTTTCAGACATTGAATAGTATATAAACTATTCCACCAACTCACGTTTTCAATCATTTTTGGGTTTCAATCGATTATGCTTTAACGACAAAATTAAATAAAAACGTGATATTTTGTTTTTGGCACCAGAAATGAAGTAGTAGTCTATTCCGAACATATGAAAAATGCTCCATGAATTTAATTTCTACTGAAATACTATGCATAATTGCAGTTAGATTTTAACCTTACTCAAGTGAATCACTCCTACAACTTTAGAGGTCACATAGTTTAACCGAATTTTCTATTGATCTCGTTAGCTAAAAAAGGTATTCTGTTATTATTTGTTATCATAAGATGTTTACGGTTCAGAGTATGCTAGTAAATAGCTGTAACCTTTAAAGTACAAGAAGAATCACTTCACAAGTTTAATTAAGTACTGGGAAACTAATATACTTGAAACAATTATCATTAACAGTAGTGCCTGAGGGAGTTACCTTATTAGCTTTAATTACTGTTTAATGTATCTTGTTTAATAAGTCCTTTTTACGAAATTTAAAGGAAAAGAGTAAATCGGAGAACTCTGTAGTAATAAGAAATTTATCTTTTCATACCCGTCTTTCACTGGGTCTTTATCACTGGTGCTATAATATTCATGCCGTTACTTAAAACAAACAAAATATATCTCATGCTGTCAAAGTTTCTTCTCGATCGTCTGGTGATCTAGTACAATCTCTCATTTAATAAGTTCACTAGCTTGACTTTCATCTCTTAACAATTTGTCCTAATGGGATCAATGGTAAAATTATAGATTTGTGGCCACTAGATTTTAAATCCTAGTCAAGTTAGTTTTACTATTTTTGAGTCCTATGTATTTTAAATGACCATTCCTTAGCTTTCCGAACAGTGAGAATAACTGGTAGATGCTTAGATAACTGAGTTCTGAATTTGCCTGCTAGATTCGTATTAGTTTAAGAAGAACCTGTCTGGTTAATATAGATAATTGTGTTGATATTTTAAAATATTTTACTAACACCGCAATCAGAGACATTGATCTACAGTAAAGTTCTTTCCGTGTTTAACAAAAGGTGCTATAATTAAAAGCTTACATGATGTAGAGAGTAACAGATAATTTGCCTTGCAAAATGTGCATTCAAATTTAACTCTGTATTAATATGTCTTCATCTGTGTTTGCGTCCGGTTATTTAAGGTACACTGGATTTATTTCACTGAAGAAATAGGAGTGAATGTACTTTTACTGGCTTCATAACATTAGCTAATTTGGAAAACGCTAACTTCCTCAAGCAAAAGCTACCTGCTATCTTCACTGTGACTCTAGGAAACCCCAAGTGTTAATTCGATCAAATATAGTGTATTATGCGACTGCTTTCTCTAAACAAGGCTAGGGAAAACAATTTATGTATATTTTTGTTCTCTAACGGTTAGATTTTATGCTTGTCGACTCAACCGAATTGGTACCAGGA